AAAACAAAAAAACAAAAAATGGCAACAAAAAAAAAAAGGTTGCTAATAAAGGCAATAGAATGGACTTGCTGTGTGCGATCAATTTGCCAGAAGAATCTCATATTAATAGATCCATATTAATTGAGTAGAACCATGGCCCTATCTGGGGAGACCAACAACATTTCAGCCAGTTGAAACTTCAGGGCTCACTATAAATTATGACCTATCTAAACTTGTCTAAATATTACTATGAAATAACTCATCTAAAATCCCAATTAAGAAATATATATAGCCTTACCATTTTGATTGGTTCTGTGCAACTATATGTGTAGCATTCTTACTCCATGGAAGATCCCACCATCCATCCATATTGCCATCATAATGGAATAATATAATTGTAAAACTCTTTGAAAGCAACTGAATTCACAAAAATTACGTAAAGAACATCCACATAATGACATGTCTAATGTCAACGAACTATTATAGCTTTGAATAACAAGCATTAATAGACAATTATACCTCTCGAATAATAACGTCAACATTACTCTTTTGTGTAATACCAACTGGAATTGCTAGTAAGTTATGAGAGCTTGAAACGTCAACCTGATAATTGAAGAAAAGGCAGCCACATGTTAGCCACAAATATGAAGTAATGATCATCTACACATGTAACACAACTTTAGAATCGTATGAACAGATTTTGTCTGTTGATATAGAAAAATCAACAAATTGTAAATGAACTTTCTGACAAGTGCATGTTCAAAAGAAGTTTGCACATTGGCAAGTATAACATGATCAAAACCTAACCTTTTCCCTCGAACTACTTGTTGACCATAGAGGTTTTAACTCCAAATCTGAACCAGCTTGAATGATGCCACAAGGTAAACTAGCCAAACTATTGTAAGCCAAATCACCTATCATGTGCAAGTTCATAAAACAACTGAAGAAAAAAAAATTTGCAAAATCAAGTATCAGACCAAATCCAAAGCAATACGGAAGTTATGGCATGTTTAAGGCAGACAAATAAAAGAACAAAAACAACGCAATTTTAAAAAATAAGAAAATAGAACTGAAAATAATACCTTCGACATGTAGAAGGGGTTCAATCATTCGTCTATCTGATGGTGAAAGAGAAGAAAAAACATTAGAGGAAGCAAAGTAAAAAAGAAAAAGGCCCAACTTCATACGTCTATCTGACAGTACAAACAATTCCCATAAACTGCAGTTCTTTCATTTTGACTCTGCATGTTCCCTGCATTTCAATTGTTACATTGTTTAATACTCAAGCCTTCAATCAAGACATCTTTAAACACATGAAACAACTTGTTCACAACATCTATCCACCTAGTTTATGAAATTAGACAAATTACAACTATTTTCAAATAAAATATACCCTTTCAAAAAATGTGTCTTTTCCTGACCACCCATCTCCATGATTTAAATGCCCTCATGAACAGCAACAGCTTCAGTATATTCTCATAATAACAAACAACAATCAAAGTATCTGAAGAACATATTAATATCAAAATATAACCCAAGAGTAAAAAACATGTGAATGCTTATCTTATGATAAATGTATCTTTGTGGTGTGACATGCGAGTCGTGTGTTACTTATGTTGTAATTCTTTTTTGTATGTGTATATGCGGGTTTGTGTGTTTTTGTTTTTGTGTGTGTGTGTGTGTGTGTGAGAGAGAGAGAGAGAGAGAGAGAGAGGACAGGGCAAAAAAATGCCCTGTATATGATTTGGGCAGGAGAGATGCTCCGGATTTCAAATTTAAATTGACAAGAGCATCACTGCATCAGTATGTTTAAATAATCCATAAATGAAAGAAAAATACTACGAGTTCATCAGAGTTGAATAATTGAAGGTTATAACCATGTATAAGAATGAAACAAATAACATCTTCCTAAATAATATACTTTCTCAGAGTTGAATAAGTCCCTCTGCAATTTAAAGCCAACAGTTTAAAAAATGGCAAGTCCATTTAAAGGCCACATGCAATGCCATAGAAGCTTCAATTACATTGAGTCAAGTTTGAGTTGTGAAAAAAGGAAATTTAACCATAAGGAATACTTTTCAAAATAGGTAGTATGCAATGGTCCAGCTGCAATCTACAGCCTACAACAATAATTGGCTACAGTGGAAAAGTAAAACAATGTTGTTGTAAGTCATTCATATTTCTGGTTATGGTAATTATTTTATTTTTTTTCCAGAAGTTTTGCTCAGACGCTGGGAACAAAAATGTAATGAATGTAGGGACATATCTTTCACCTTCATATAAGATGTTATGTAGAGGAATAACAACAAAAAATCGTGTCGTGTTCAGAAAATTGAAAGACAATCAAGCAATTTGTCTACTGGAAAAGTATGTTGATCCCAAAGCAAATATAAATAAATACATTATAAATTTGTTGAATAACATAATTCAAAGTGAGGCAAAAGTTAGAACATAAGAATGCTACTAAGGTACCACATAACACAGTTTATGGTGGAAAATTGCAATAACAAAACAAGGTAAAACACACAGGAATACATTTGCTTGCATTAATAGACGACAGAAGGACAAGCAAACATTTCTACATGTTCATTCAAAAAAAGGACGAATATGTTTTCCAAATGCCATAAAACAGAAGCTTGAAGCTGCTGTCAGTTAAACTCCACAGTTCCGCTGCTGTCAGTTAAACGCCACAGTTCCGCTGCTGTCTTTTAATTTTTTGAATAACAAGCATAAACACATTAAAAAAATGTTTAATTTTTAATAGATCAAGCCTAAGAAACAACATCAACACAGCTTTGCATTAAGGCCAAAAGAAATTATAGGAACAGAGATGAACAACACCCAAAAATAAACGCAAAATGGAAGAATAAAGATAACAAAGAAAGAATAATGCACAAAAAGGCTAACTGATCAATATTAACCCACCTTATGGTTTCCCTTGGCCTCTAGAGTTCCATCTATAAAAATTACATGGACAGCCCGGTCTGCCCTCTAGAGACTTCCATTTCTAGAAAAAGTAAACTAAATAATGTGCATGTGTCTGCATGACTTATAAAGAAAAAGGTAATATCAAATATACAACATCTTTATGGATTTTTAAATGTATCACACACATCAACCAGTCAATTTACACTAGAGGATCAACTAAAAAAAAGATATCTATAAATTCTAAAATAACAATTACCAACTAACCATTGGATTACCTCATTGCAAAACCAATAGAAACCCATCCATTGGTCTGTGTTTATGACCTTGTAATCAATTTGTGTCTGCATTCAGAGCAAAAACACTCAAATGAGATAAATAAATGGGATTGGCTCCTATCTTGTGCATGCCTATAAGGTCCTTCACGTCACCAGTCAAATGAGATAAATAAATGGGATTGGCTCCTATCACACTGCAAGGCTTTATGCAGTGGTTGAATTTTTCTAATTTAGAAATTGTTGGTCTTGACTAACTGCTAATAAAGAAGCACAAGGGAAGAAACCTACACCAAAATGGAAAAATATGAGAGATTTTCAAGGAGAACAACTAAATACCACCTCATTACACTATCTACTCAACTCTCTAAATCTGTAATCAGCCCTTCAAGAAGATGGCATGCCACCCAATTATGGTTGTCATCTCTTTGCTGTTGCTTCCATTGGACTTCTAGCGACTCTCTAAATTTGTAATCACCCCTTCAAGAAGATGGCATGCCACCAAATTATGGTTGTCATCTCTTTGTTGTTGCTTCCATTGGACTTCTAGCGACTCTCTAAATCTCTAGTCACTACAGGACATGGTCACTGTCCAAGGCAGACCGCAGTCTTGTGGCTAGAGTAATCGTTACCTACAAAGACCATAGATAAAGTTAGTATTATCTATCCAACAACCTGCTTTGGCATGTTCGTACAACTATAGAATTCTCCAATTAATAAATTGGAGTTTGTACTTTTTTCCACCAGTCTATAAGTTCATCAACTAAGCAGACTCATGTAATTTACAGCGGGACATGATTTTTGTTTCCATATATACAAAATCTCAAAACAAGAAGAGACCAAAAAATAAAAAAAATCCAAGGCAAACATACCTGAAGCAACAAGAAGACAAACTGTCACCAAAAAAAAATTCATTAAAGAGGTTCATTCATATAAATCAAAGCAGCATTATTACAAAGAGTATACAAAATTGAGTACACCAACCACATCCTTTGGAACATTGCTAGCATCCCAAAAGTTGATTAAATAAAATTAACCAAACTATTTTTTTAAACAAAGATTACGACCAAATGCTTGATTAAACATCAAAATAGAACATAGAGATATTTTCTAATTCAACCCACAGATTAGAGAGCGATAGAGCAAAAGGTAGAATAAAGGGATAAGAGAGGTACCGTGGTAGATGCAACCCACCTCTTCCGCAGGCAATCTGTGGTTCGGGCCACTGCTGGCAAAAATCAAAAAACCAAAAGAAAGATAATGAAATTGAATTAAACATAATTAAGTAGAGAAACTGATAGTTAAATAAAGAGTGGGAAAAACAAAAAGAAGAAGGGATTCTAAAATCATTACATGAAGATTGGCTTTGGAAACAAACCCATTTCACTATAGAAATTTAATAGTTTATATGTTATCACAAACCCATTTTAATATTTTTTAAATAAAAAATATTCAAAAACACATTTAAATCTAATCAATTTTAGAAAATATTTGCATGAAAATCATGGCATTTCCTCACCTTCCACCCAACACCACCTTTGCCTTTGCCAATGGAAGCTCGCCTTCCTCCAACCAATCAGTTGACTCTTCTAGGATTTAAAAAATAATAATAAAAAAAAAAGGCATCAGTTGGTTTGTGCACTTAAAAATGCAGTTGATAAAAAAAAGTGAAAAATGCAAGGAATAAAAAAAAAGTTGATTTATTAAATGCAGATAAATGTTGCCATATGTTGATTTATTAAATACAGATAAAAAAAAGTAAAAAATGCAAGGAATAAAAAATGCAGGCATGATATTTTGCTATTAGAGAGAAAGGAAGTTAACCAAAGAAATATCACCTCTCTTTTGCATTAAGAAAGAGAGAGAGTGGTGAGGCAGGTGAGGCCCTATTTGCCGGCTGGTGAGGTGGCTGGCAGTGGTGCGGTCAGGACGTAGAAGTGACCTCTAATGGTAGCTCTTTTGATCTGTTGGTTTTCTACTAAGAGAATTGATTCATTAACATCTATAACTAAAACTTGAAATGGTAGCTAAGTCATGCCACCTGACGAATAATCAGGCCAAGCAACGTATGAATTTCAAAATGTGTCAATCAATTGAGAAAATAAAAAAAAGAAAATGTAAATATTACAAATAAATGACTTGATTTGCGGTTTTTTAAAAAGAGAATTAAATGTTCTACAATATATAAGAAATAAGTGGATCTGTTCTCATCATTTATGATTTTGAATAACTAAAAAACAACATTAAACCTAAAAAAATATCATGCACCTAATTGCTATGGAATTTGTTTCCCAATGGAAGCCAAACACCTTATTAAAGAAAGAAGGTGATGGAGATTACCGAAAGAAATTGCAAAAAAGTTAAATCAAAATCACACCAAACCCATCACAACATACAGCAGTTAAATCAAAAAAGGGCAAAAAAATAAAAATAAACATGAGACTAAAATAAAATCAAATTGAAGAAACTTATCTTGATTTGTAAAACTAATGATGCCTAAGCTTATCTTAATGCCGGAGCCATTAAAAGTCTGCTCTCCTACAATTACCAAATCATTTAATAAAAGTATCTAGATGAAAATTGGAATAAAAAAAACCCAATATGAAACAAATTGCTTAAAAGAAAGAAGGTTTGGAGTATATAAAGCTAAACAAATTGCTTAAAAATCGGAAGGTTCTAAATGATTTAATTAAACTAACCTAGAATGATGAAATTCACAACAACTGACCAGAGAACTCTAAGAAAATAAAAAGACATTTGCTAATGAGATTAATTAAAGCTTGAATAGTATGATACTAAAAATTCCAACCGATTAAGTCATGAATTTCAAAATCAATTAACTGAAAAAGATTCAAATCCTAACCGTTAACAGAATAAAAATTTAAAGCCATGGTTGTCTAACTTAACTATACAAATCCTAACTATTAACACATTCATTCATCAAATGAATTTGTAGGTATGCTTTTTTTATTTCATCATTAACGCATGACACGTGACACCAAAAAAAAAAGAAAGTATTTTTATTGTGTTCAATCATATACCTACAAATCATACCTATAGCAAGCATGATGGATGATAACATATAACAGTTACTACATCTCTCACATTAGCCCAATCAACAATTTGTCTCTCAGTCACTCCCAAAATTCGAACTTTTCCGTCTATAGAGCCACTCATGAAGTAATTTTCATTGGCTGGATTGAACTAAATGCATGTCACTAATACCATAAAGATAACATAAACAATATATTAATTTTTAATAACACTCAAAAGACAATAGATTCAACAAGATACATATACATATTATGATCTGAATCAATAGTTTATATAGGAATTACAAATAGCTGACAATACTAACCATAGTCATTGTGTTGGAAAACACTAATACATTCATTGCAGCCCACTTGCCATAGATGAACAATTTTCTCCTTCGATGATGAAAGAAGACACTACAACAAATTGACCTCAAAAACATTATTATGTTTTTTTTAAACAAATGGGAAAATTTTAAAGGTATTTTGCAAGCAAGCAATAACTTACATTAGATTTGGACCATGCCAGGTCCAAGACATCACTAGTGTGGCCATGAAATTCTTGTAGTGGCAACTCCTCAATCTGATGAATTTTTTCCACAAACTCCTCAATTACTCCCATCCTTTTGTTTTTGATGAATTTTTTCCACTCAGCAGAAACACAACTGGTAGCAAATCTTATAATGGTCATTTGAATCTACGAAAGGATGCAATATTGATGAACAAAAAATCAGTTCTTTATTTCCTTTCCCAATAAAGAAAGGGTATGATATCTCTGTTTTATGAGTTCTCTTTTCAAACATGGTATAGTGGAAAATGTGGTATAACACCAAAAATATGTAAAATACTAAAGCATCTTACCATTTTGTTTGCTTTCTTACACTGACATGGATGGCCCTCTTTGACCACTCAAATTGATGCCATTCACTTGTCCAGCCATCATAATGAAAAAGCATAATTTGAAAATTCTCAGAAAACTATCAAAAAATAAAATAAGATTACAAACCTCTACTTGCAACATCATAACAATAATACATATAATGGAATGGTCCATTTGTGTAACCTTTTTAACTGCTGCATCAATGTTGTTTCTCTAATCCAAACCAACTGCGAATGTTACCAAGTATTTCGGCTTCATTGTCAAATCATGAAAGTTACAGAACGTTCTCCATAAGATGATTAGAGTTATGAGAGTAGTTACACACATGCCAAATCAATGGAAATGTCATAGTATGAGACAGTTTCTTTTTGCACTTATTTCAATTTTTAGTATTTTATGATGTGAGGATTTCTCACTCTCTTGTCACCAACAATGATAAGCCAATTAAATCTACAAGTAGCCAACCCAACCGTACCAATCTTAACAATTCTAAGCATCACACATTAAAAAATAACCAAAACCTGAAAAGTACAGTTTTGCAAACAGGCTCCACACAATTTCAAAAAACGATGATAAGAGTAATATCCATTAAGCCTTTGACAAGAACATTTCAAAGATGAGAAAACTTTAGTTAAAGAATTATTAAGTAGAATATGCCATGGTCTTAGATATGTGATGAATTTTTATTTATTTTTTATTTTTTGATATTTACTCGCTAAACAACAATGTCTACTCTATTAGGACTTCCGAAATCATATATGGTCATAGTTGAGTTGGAGAGTTAACAAGAAATTAAAAAATTTACAATGATTAAAACCAATTCCACCATCTAAAATAAGTAAATAATTGCAAAGTCCGGCACCATAACACAGTTACTTGTGTTGAACAACATACCTCACTGGGTTCACCCCATAGCCTTCGCAAATAAAAAGTGGACTGAGAGACTACAATTGCTGGAGGTAAGGACTCTCCACCACAAGGATTTGTTGGAACATATATCTGGGAGGAAAACCAAACACGAACAGGTTATCAGCCTAAATGGGAACACATTTTGTTTTGTAGCAACTGAGAAAAGATATGGGAAAAGCATGTTGAGCTAGTATTTCCAGATAAGGTATAACACAAATCGACAGAGAGAGAGAGAGAGAGAGAAATCAATACCTCGCAATGAAGCTTTCAAATCGAGAGAGAGAGCTTCAAGATTGAAATCGCTCTGAGATGAATCTCAAAATCGAAATCGCTCTAAGACCGATCTGAGAAATCAAACACAGCCTCTCCTGAGATCACTTCCTTTGCGATCGAAACCAACCCTCTTCTCTCTTCGCAATCACCCAGAGCTTCAGAGCTTCAGATCGGTATCTCAGAGAACAAAGGATGAATCGAGAGAGAGAGAGAGAGAGAGAGAGAGAGAGAGAGAGACAGAGTGACATAGTGAAGCTTCAGACCTTCAAATCGAAATCGCTCTGATGAATCTGTATGAATCTCAAAGAAAATCGCTCTGAACCAAAATGGCTTTCAAGGGTTTTGGGGGTGAGCAAGAGAGAGGCGTGAGGTTTGTGAATAGGGATGGCAATTTGAAACCGGCCCGACGGGGATCCCCGATCCCGACCCCGATTTAAACGGTTTTTCCCCGAAAAATACTCCCGACGGGGAGGTGACGGTATTTGAAAATCAA